TATATATATATATAACTTTTTTTCTTTTTCCCAAATTTATTATTATTTTTTTTTACCAAACCTCAAAGTTTATCAAAATGCAGTTACTTACTATCCAGGTATAAACTGCCATTTCTGAGTGAGTGTAAGAGAGCGAGTCATGAAAACACTTCCCCAGACAGAGAGGGTCAAGTCTGAACTTTTTGGCTCTTCCTGGTTTCTCTGGCACATGTACAGACTCTGGAGTGTCTGCATTTGTTTGTGTGGTTGAGTGAGAACAGCGCCTGGTGGCATGTAGAGAGAGAGAGTGTGTGTGTGCGTGTTGAAGATGCAAAGAGCTGCTTGGGCTGTCACATGGTCAGGACAGAATAAAGGTTAAGGAGTAGAGGGTGGAAACTAAGAGAGAAAAGGAACATCATAGAGTATAAATGTAAGAAAGAGTTAAAAATAACATCTAACATCTAAGAATGCAGAGGTCAAGTTTAGGGATTTGTGATTTGAGGGTAAATGTGAAGTGAAGTGACATGTGGATGTGCTCTGCACACGAATTAGTGCTCTGCATTTACCCATCCAAAGTGCACACACACAGCAGTGAACACACACAGCAGTGAACACACACAAACCGTGAACACACACCCGGAGCAGTGGGCAGCCATTTATGCTGCGGCGCCCGGTCAGACACTTCTGACTAGTCACACACCTTACTGAAGGCTTCACAGACTCTGGTATTAACATCTGTTTCAGGTGATCTGAGTTAGACCGCGCTAAATGCAAGTGTAAACCGTGTCAAAACACATTTTACAACACTTGTAACCACGTTTTTTATGTTTGTGTACATACATACATACACATATATATATATATATATATATATATATATATAACTTTTTTTCTTTTTCCCAAATTTATTATTATTTTTTTTTACCGGGTTGACATTTATGTCAACCCTAAATTAGTTTTCAGATTGGATATTCATGATTGGTTCTTGAGTTTAAACATCAGTTTTACCCTACTAAATGGTAAATCCTTTAGCATTTTGTTTATTTCTCTTTGTCTTTTGTTTTTCCCATCAGGTGCTGGAAATCCTGGTGCGTGCGGTAGTGGACAATCTGACAGATCACCGTGGCGAACAGGCCTCCAATCTTAAAGCCAAACTGCAGGAACTTTTTGGTCGAGTCTCCGCCCGTTGTAGCACAGACGCCCAAATATGGAAGCAGTACGCTCGGCTCTATGGCGATGGCCATAGCAACAATGTACAAGACAGCGAAAAGGTGAGATTTGTTTTGTTTAGTTATTTGTTATAAGAAGTGCCTAGAACTATTATTTTTCAGCATTCAGTAACTTAACCCAAGAAAAGAAGAGCCTGTGGTTCTTCTACAGCAGACTTAACTATTAACAGTTTTTGTCAGTTCTTGTAGATTGTAAGCAGTGTTTTTTTTCACTTAAATTTGCAAATAAAACAAAGATTAATAGTGTTTACAAGAAAATTCTTTTGCAGTTGTTTCTACTTTAAAAAATCCTTTAATTCAATGTGTTATTTGCAGTTTCTTTTTAATTATTTATGAAATCTACTAGCAATTTCTGAGTGAAAATTATTTCTACATTAAATTTTTCAGTGTAGAGGTCAAGCACTCATGGGTTCGATCCCCAGGGCATCTGGTAAAATATATATCTTGAATGATCTGTAAGTCTTTTTGGATAGAATGCGTATGTCGATATAGCTTGAAGAGCACAAAGTTTCATCATTGAAACTTCACAGTGGACTTTCTACACTCTCAGAAAAAAAGGTACAAAAGTTGTCACTGGGGCGGTACCTTTTCAAAAGGCACACCTTTGTACCTAAAGTGTACATATTAGTACCTAAAAGGTACAAAAGTGTACCTTTTGAAAAGGTACCGCCCCAGTGACAGCTTTTGTACCTTTTTTTTCTGAGAGTGGTGCTGCACCTATAAAAATATAGCGATTTACAAACTCAAACTAAACTTGACAAACTCAGTTTTCCATGGAAGACATAGCTTTTATTGGTTGTCGCTTTACTACCTTACATCTGGTTTGGTCACAAAGTCTAACTACGTTTTGATGTGTGTTTTTTTAGGCACTACAGTTTCTGAGTAAAGCGCATCGGTGTGAGACGCAGGCAGCTGGCTGGGAAAAAGACATGGGCAACTTCAGATCTGTAGTGAAAGGTGCCAGAGATATGGCTACTGGTGAGATTTTATACACACACATACACAAGGACATTTGAGAGGAACATACAGAATTGTGGTCCTGCACTCATTCAGAGAGTCACTCTGTCATGGCTAATGTGACAGCGCGTGAACGTAGTGAGAGACTGAAAGGGCTGATGGATTGAGAACAAGGGAGCAGGAGCAAGAACGGCAAACAAGCTTTTTACCCCTTTGACCTCCAGCAGAGACAGACTTCTGTTTGTGTGTGTGGGCACGTGTGCCTGTGTGTGTTTACCAGATTGGTTTGCTTTTGTCTGTCCATCTGTGTGTGTGTCTCATTAGGAGGGATGTTGAGGGTTTGGTCAGTGAGTGTGTGTTGAATTAAACATCAGTAGGGACAGAGCACAGGTTTTGGGTTGAATAGCAATTCTTTCTCCGTTTCTAACGACCTGAATTTCTGTGTCTTAAAGGTATACTGAAGTGCCTTGAAACACGCAGTGTTATGCTATGTGGTGACGTAATTTCATCTGAAACAGGAAGAACTTTTTAAATAGCCAATAGCGTTTAATTTATACCGTTTAGATTATGACAGCCACAGTCTAATAGATTAGCCCTTTAGATTCAATATGAAACTGTTACTAAAGCAAAACAGTGACCATAATGATGCTGAGGATGTGTAGTTTGAAAATTGTGCAATTTATGTTGGTGCAGGGCACCGGTGTTATCTCTTCTACTTATTAGTGCCATTTGTCTAACCGTTTCGCCTCATCATCTGATCCAAATCGCTATAAAATATAGCATTCTGTGTAGAATTCAACTGGGTCCGATACATTTTGTGGTATACACGACTCGCGCATATGATCTGCTCCGTGATATCGTGTCTCTGGACCGGAGCAGACTGTGCGCGCGCTGTGGCGGTTCGCGTACACAACACGAAACCAATGGAAAGCATATTTACACTGTCTGAATTGTTCCTTATTCCCCATATTGTGCACTTCCTGCATTTCAGCATACAGAGAATACTAATTCTGAGAACAAGTGACCTATTTCAGCCACAGTTTCAGTGTTTATTTAGTTTGATGAGAAGCTGAAGTGCAGGGTGATGTCATCAAAACCGTTGGTTCATATTGCTGGAAGTGAGAGACTGTAAGATTTGAATGCTTATATCTTCTAAATACGAATTTTGTCATCGTATTGGAGCACATTAGCTTATAGATAACTAAGGCTAACATATTCATACTAAAAGCCAAAAATTTCAATTTGGTTTTCATGGGGACTTTAAAAATCAGACTGCCACATCATGTTATTCTCAGCTCAGTTGGCACTGAACATGGACTAGCTTGTCTAAGCGAAACATGGTCTCGCTCAAATGTTCATTTGCCATCTTTTTAGCGTCTCTCCTCTTATTCCTTCTCACGCACTCTCTCCATCAGCTTGTTGTCCTTGAGTATGCAGGCTGTTTGTTGTTGAACTTAATGATTTATAAAGGGGGCGGCTTGGCAAATGTAGCAGAACCCTTCACACGCCTCCATCCATTCCCACTTGCCTGCTTTGTGTGTGTGTGTGTGTGTGTGTTTGGGGAGGATCGATCAATATAAGGGTGAGGGAAGTGTGTGAGCATACGTATAAGATCATTCTTCACTGGGTTGTGTGTGGATTGTGTTTGTATTCATGTATGTGTTTCTGTGCAATATAGCTGTGTGTGTGTGTGTGTGTGTGTGTGTGTGTGTGTTGTGAATGAGCTCTGCACTTATTAATCACATCACTTTTCCTGCTATCGCCGCTTCCCCAATGATACAGTGTGAAGTTCCTGTCCTCCCTCTGTGGGCCGCATATGTGACTGCTGTATCATTTAAGTGTGTCCCTGCTGTCTCACGCACAAATGAACAACTTAAGAACCCGATTGCCCTGCATTAGGTTCTCTGACAGTTTATACAGTATAGCTGTAAAAGTTGATTGTGTTTGACACTATTGATCTTTTAAATTCCAGATGAAATGGTTTAGATTTGGATATTCCCAAGAGGTGCGTTTACAAAATAAGGATTTTGACCCCTAAAGGGGTTGTTCACCCAAAAATGAGAGTTCTGTCATCATATACTTACCTCACGTCATTCCAGACCTGTATGACTTTCTTCTGTGACGCACAAAAAGATATTTTAAATAGTAACCAAGTGTTTTCTTTTCTTTTGTCCATACAGTCAAAGTCAGTGGGGTCCAGTGTTGTTTGGACCTCACTGAATTCCAAAATATATTTTGTGTTCCACCGAAGAATGTAAGTATGGATGAATATGTGAGTAAATGACGACAGAATTTTCATTTTTGGGTAAACTATAGCTGAAGTATTTATCCAGGGGGACTATATGTAATACAAAAATGAATGATACTTCAAATCACTTGACGGATTGAGGACAGGTGTCATTACTTTTCTAAGCGATCAGATTTGGGATTTTCACCTTCTGGATGATAAAACTAGTGATACATTTGTAGACTTAATAAGGGTACTATAAGTTCTTTCCAGAAACCAGAATGATTGACAGTTGAAGGTTCTTTTGATTGGCCCAATACACAGACCACTCAGAGCACCCTAGCAACTGTATAGCAACATGTTAAAAACCTCCCAGAACACCTTAGCAACTGTATAAATGATACATTTTATATGAAATAGCAAGTTTGCCTTCGTATTTCTTGCACATGACTGGCTGATAGAGTACTGTTGTTAGTTACTGCTCACAGCCTGAATAAATGAAGCAATTAAGCCTATTTAACTTTTTTACTTTTTTTTATTATTAATATCCATTTTGAGTGCATTATTACTAGTGTTAAAATTACTCCTTGTATGCTATTCCTCCTGTAACTTTACTACTATTATTATTATTATTATTATTATTATTAAATCACTTGACGGATTGAGGACAGGTGTCATTACTTTTCTAAGCGATCAGATTTGGGATTTTCACCTTCTGGATGATAAAACTAGTGATACATTTGTAGACTTAATAAGGGTACTATAAGTTCTTTCCAGAAACCAGAATGATTGACAGTTGAAGGTTCTTTTGATTGGCCCAATACACAGACCACTCAGAGCACCCTAGCAACTGTATAGCAACATGTTAAAAACCTCCCAGAACACCTTAGCAACTGTATAAATGATACATTTTATATGAAATAGCAAGTTTGCCTTCGTATTTCTTGCACATGACTGGCTGATCGAGTACTGTTGTTAGTTACTGCTCACAGCCTGAATAAATGAAGCAATTAAGCCTATTTAACTTTTTTACTTTTTTTTTATTATTAATATCCATTTTGAGTGCATTATTACTAGTGTTAAAATTACTCCTTGTATGCTATTCCTCCTGTAACTTTACTACTATTATTATTATTATTATTATTATTATTATTCACATGGGTGGGAAAGACAATTGTGTGCAAATCCCCATTGAAGTTTTGATGCAGTTTACATGGATTCACAGACCAAAATACGATTTGAGTGTGGTGTAAACTACTTTGTTAAAGCATGCCAAAATCTTGCCATTAACATTGTATTCTCTCTCTCTCTCCTGCTCATCTTTTAGTTATGATGGTCATTATTTTTAACTAAAAATAGCTGTGACCCAAGAATAGCTTTATGACACCACTGTCTCTCTCTCTGTTCATTAACTGAATTTTCTTTTCAACTCTAGCCTTTAGACCTGGCAGATGTAATAGGAACTGTCTTTTTATTCAATTAGAGATCATCAATTGATGAAAACAACACTAATGTGGCAATATTTTTCACAGAAGAGATTGTTTGTGAATGTACATTATAAGAATGGACTGTTTAACACCTGTTAGGTTGTGTGGAAACAGAACATTTTCTTTCAAGACATTCAGTTCTTCTCAAGGATGATCTCATGCAATCAATAAATCAGTCTGAAATATCCTTCCAAATACTCCAAAGCTTATGAGGAATGGTATTCCATGTCTGTCTATCTGTCTCTCTGGCTGTCTCACCCACGCGTATCCTAGAGTGGGCTGAGCTCAGTCTAGGCCTAAAATGGTATTGATCTAAGGAAGTTTCTGAGTCACCTTTCAGTAATGCTATAAAGATGTTCTGGTAATCCAGATAGCAAGCGTCTGTAGGAGGACAGTGACTTTCGGTTGAGTTTAGGGAATTGTGAGCATGTGAAAGAATGGAGGCATGTTCATCTATTTGTGTGTCGAAACAGGAGGGTGTGTGCGGATGCTGAATGTATTAATAGGATCCGGTTTTTTACATGTAGGGAGGCCATAGGGTACCCGTTCATGGGCAGAAGGCTCTCAAAGTCAGATTTAGAGCTGGAAAGCAGTCAGGCATGCTGTAGGGAGAAAGTCATTTGGATCACATAACTGCATAGAACATCATGGACCGCTTCGATTCAGTGTTTCTGACTGTTATACAATAAATCTCACTTAAGTATAGCAGCAGAATAAATGAATGGTTCTGATGGTTTTTCAGCTCTGTTACAGTAGTGTTGTAAATGGCAGGGGAGAGATAGTAGACACTCTTAAAAATAAGGTGATGACGGAACCAATTTGAGTTTCCTAACAAATTTTTCAGTGAATAATTCTTAAAAGTAAAATTTTTCTTAGTGTGATAAACATTTAATAAAATGTTGACCCTTTTTTACACTGATAGGAACATTTTGTGCAATGGGAAGTTTCCATGGATGTTAAAGGTTCTTCATGGAATAATCTGCCAATAAAGAAACTTTATTTTTAAGAGTGAAGCTGGTTAGTCTCCCAGCTTGGTCGGCAAAAAACATTTCCTCCTAAACCATCTACCATCTAACATATCAAACGCTGCATGGACATCAAATCCTACGGCATTTAAGGGCAAATTCTAGTAAACCAGATTAGACATATTACAATACGGCCAGGTTATCCTCAAAAACCACAATAATACAATTGCCAAGTTTCAATGGCAATATTTCAAAAGCACATTAATAGTCCAATTATTGCCTATAATCTGAGTAAGGAATTATTCAGATGAAGATGTTTACGTTACATGGACAAATCTATTCAAACTTGTTTATGTGCTACTTCCCAATACCATGTGTTTTTACTGACATTTTGTAGCTGTTGCTGTTATGGCTGCTTCAAATATAAAATGTTAGCCGCTTCTGGGACATCAAACCATCTTGTCAATTACATAAAGCATAAAACTACTAAAAATGTCAATAAAGTGTTTCTGACCTCAATATGTCGTTGTCATGTAAAGCAGCAACCAGAAAGTGTCAGGGTAAGATCTGAACCAAATATATATGAAATTTACCTTAGATTTCAACCAATATTATTATTACTATTATTATTAAGTATTAACCCTATTTCCTGAGGTCCCCCAAAGTGTGGCTTCTTCTCTTCCACACATGCACACTTTGTGTGGTGGTTAAAGCATTTACTGTGATTATGGTTACCCGAATTATGTGCATAATTATGATATTCTGTTTACATGAGCTTCAGCTTTAATTGCAGCAGTGGCTTAAATGCATTACAGGGTGCATGTAGGCATAGCCAGTGTTTGATTCTAATGGAATTTCTGGTTACTATTGTATAAGCATTGTTGATGTTCAGTCCCCAGTTGATGCCCAATGTAATATCTTGAGAACCATACACTGGAATAGCTTATTTTTTCTTAAAGCGATGTGGAACAGTGGAACTGATGCCTGCACTCTATGTGACAGGCTTGACTTATGATGGATGCACTTTTCTGACATTTTTACAAACGACCTCCACCTTCAAATTCATAGGTCTGAAACAGTTCTTCAGTTGTTGTTTTTTTGCCTTTGGTTTAAGGGTTCAGCCCCACATGTGTGTTCCAATAAGAACTCCATCCTTGACGTCATGTCTGCAGGAGATTGGCTATATGGAGCTCGAGCTCAAACTCCAGCCCTTGCACACACACGCGCTCAAACTTTTCTAAGAGTTTTCAAACTTCTGCTCGAGTTCAAATCGCGCGCACGCGAGCTCTCCCGCCGCGTTGACTCCCGTTTTCCCCGATTTCCGTTTCGTGCTTTGAAACTTTGTTTCACTCCAAGCATTTTCCCCCTCTTTTAAGTTATGTTTGCCTCTAAGTGTTTTCTTATGGCGAATAGATGACAGCGCGCGAGGGTTTACAACTTCTACAGTGATCATAACATTCTAAAAAGCAAAGTAACATCTGTTGTTTCAAGAAGCCACGTGAGACAGTTTAAATGTAGGCTATCGGCTTCCCTACCAATGAACCTGATGCCCCTTAAAAAGTTTTAGCCAGCCATTCACAAAGATTTTTCCACATTCCCTACAATCACGAAGAGTATTGAGTTGTATCCCAGCCCTGTATTTCTTAATATTTTCTGCACTTTGGATCAGTCCCTCTCACTTTGCTCTGAAGTACAGTATGAAATTGCACAGTGGAAATAAGAGGACTGATTATATTGGAGCCTCAACCAGCTTTGGCCCCGGGCCCTCATGTCACTTCAGTGAGCGTAGACTTGCGTCAGAAACTGCTCTAGGTGGGCGAGGAGATTGACCGGGGGGGTTACAGTAAGGTTAGTAGGTCCATTCAGTTTGTGTGTGAGTGTGACTCTTGATGTCATTGCAGAGTGAATGTCTGTGGGGGGCAGTGCTGTGTTGGTTGGAGCAAGACCCCAGGATCTCAGCGCTGCACTAAACGTGAGTTATGACGATTCTTTTGAATCATGCATGTGCTTGGGTTCTCTCAGGTCTTTCTTCTGCACTACACCACACTTGAGCTTCAATCTAAAATCTTGCTTGAACAATTCCCCCTCTTTTAAGTTATGTTTGCGTCTAAGTGTTTTCTTGTGGCGAATAGATGACAGCGCGCGAGGGTTTACAACTGCTTCACACGCGACAGAGTGGAGCTGCACTTCTATAGTTTTATTTTTGTGTCTTTCTATCTATTGTGTGTAAATATAGTACAGAGTGGTTCTTTCAAACTTTCCCAACACTTTTACTTCCAATGGATATGGCTGTGCTCATGTGGGACATCATTGTTTCTCTAACGTTACTGATTTCTCCGGATTTGCTCTCGGCGGATAAGAGCGGCTTCAGGAGACTGTACGTGCTTCAGACGGGACCGAGCGGTACGGACGGTGTTCACGTGAGCTCCATTTCATCGCTCTCGGGAGCGTCGGGACAGCCGCACGCCTACAATGTGGAGCTCAAAGCCAGCTTCGGCGGCCAGGTCCGGACCCGCAGAATGGGTCACCAGTCGAACCCGAACCCGAGCATTCCGATCCGCCAGGACGCGCAGCCTGGCCGACACACAACCAGCCATCATATGAAAATGTCAGGGTAAGATCAGAGCCAAATATATTCATATACATAACACTTTACGTTAGCTGTCGACCAACTGCATATATAGTTTAAAAAAAGTTAGTTTTATAATTAATATTTATGCAGAGTTGTTTTGCAATCTAAATGGTCACAAAGTTTATTATCCAAACTTAAAAATATATTTAATCCAAGTTTATTTGCATAGCGCTTTTCACAATACAAATCGTTGCACAGCAACTTTACAGCAAATTAAGTTTAAGTTAATTAATACATTAAAATAAAAAATAAAGTAGGTTAACATCATAAAGTGACTTTACCTGTGAATAGCGATATTGAATGTTTTTCTTTAAGGGACCCACCAAATGGTGCTGATAACAATTATCGGTAAGTCAAACCGATTATTGGGCTGTGTGTAGTTTACAGTTTGATAAAAAGAAATATAAAAATTAGCCATAAGAAGAAAAAATTATATGACAGTTCTAAAAATAAAAGTTTAGTACGATTCTCAAAATGCAGAACTTACATTTTGTTCATATAATACTGTTAAATAGAAACAATCGAGAATGTGAGGGTGTTGTACTTCCTTAAGAGGTCTGAATCTTGCATTTGATTTCCAATGATGTTAGCAGCCAGGTGTCATTAAGGAGCAATAAATTTGATAAGGCAACGAGGCTACAGTGATCATAACATTCTAAAAAGCAAAGTAACATCTGTTGTTTCAAGAAGCCACGTGAGACAGTTTAAATGTAGGCTACCGGCTTCCCTACCAATGAACCTGATGCCCCTTAAAAAGTTTTAGCCAGCCATTCACAAAGATTTTTCCACATTCCCTACAATCACGAAGAGTATTGAGTTGTATCCCAGCCCTGTATTTCTTAATATTTTCTGCACTTTGGATCAGTCCCTCTCACTTTGCTCTGAAGTACAGTATGAAATTGCACAGTGGAAATAAGAGGACTGATTATATTGGAGCCTCAACCAGCTTTGGCCCCGGGCCCTCATGTCACTTCAGTGAGCGTAGACTTGCGTCAGAAACTGCTCTAGGTGGGCGAGGAGATTGACCGGGGGGGGTTACAGTAAGGTTAGTAGGTCCATTCAGTTTGTGTGTGAGTGTGACTCTTGATGTCATTGCAGAGTGAATGTCTGTGGGGGGCAGTGCTGTGTTGGTTGGAGCAAGACCCCAGGATCTCAGCGCTGCACTAAACGTGAGTTATGACAATTCTTTTGAATCATGCATGTGCTTGGGTTCTCTCAGGTCTTTCTTCGACACTACACTATACCTGAACTTCAACTTCAATCTTGCTTGAAGAATGGAAGCCCTTTAATCACCCTGGAAGTCTAGTTTAGAATGGTTTCTTTGCTTTAGTTTAACACTGTTTTGCTAAAGACTGAGGGCTTCACATGAAATCAGTTCTCTTAGGTATGTCAACAAAATTAGCTAATCAGTCTTTAAACTCAACGGTGTAGAAAAGGGGACTGAGTTTGTGTTATTACGAAGGGTTTAGGCTGCTAACACAAAAGCTGCAGATTCAATCATATTTAGAGTTCATCTAAGAGTTAAGAATACTGCCCAACATCATTTACTGATCACATACTGAGGGATTACACTTATGCCCTTTGGCTTCAAATCCTCGCTATGCGTTTTTTAGCAAGACATTCGTCCATGTCTTGCTCCATAGTCCACTTGGTATGAAATGGTGTCTAGAAGCTCCCTCTGGACACAAATGTGTGCTAAATATAAGTGAGAGAAATTGTGAATATTTAGTCTCTTAGACTTGAATTCTTCTGTAAAATGCACAAAACAGATCAGAGGCTACAAGTGTTGTTTTGGACCCCAATTCATTGAATGGACAAAAACAGTTGAAACAATTTTCTTAAACTGTGTTCCAAAGTAGAAAAAACAACATGAGGGACAGAATTTTCATTTTGGCAGTTGCTGTGGTTAAAACATGACATATGCTGAGACATTTTATGGTATCCTTCATGAATAACCAGACAGACAGCTGCAATGGCCACCTGTGATGGAAGTCAAAACGTTCTCAGTGAGATCTGAAGTGGAGAGATGGGGGTGGTTGGAAGGAGGGTGTGTATTGTTATCATAGGTGTAGATTTCGAGTGGGTGGTGCCGGATGGTTCATGATAGCTTATATTAGCAAACACTCAGTATGTCACGAAATGCTCAGGTTACAAGCAAATCTAATCTGCAAGTTATTGCACTCAAAACCCATAGCACCAACTTGGGGTTTGTAAAGAAAAGAAATGCAAGACATGACAGAATGTTTCAGTTAATGCAATGGACAGAAAGTACACAGGAAAAAACTTGAAATATAATTATGGAAAACAAAGAGAGGAGGACACAATGGCAAAGGGCAAAAGATGTGAAATTTTGATGCTACAGAGAGTATGATAAACTAGTGGAAGACCTGGATCAGTTTCTCCTCATCCTGTGTGTTTCTGCCAGTAGGTTATATAAGAACCAATCACTGGGGAAAGGCCACCGGGGAAAGTTGCACCTCCACCCGCTTCAAGTCTTACCTCCAGCACACATTCCTCTTACCCACATTTTACACAAATCCTAGACAATCAATATTGTGTCTACATCCCCTGTCTCCAGTGACATTCCTCCTTCTTTTCCCTTGTTTTTCAGGAATGACAAATTGACTTTTTTTGTGTGTAGGGTCTATGCCGCCTCCAAGATTGTGTCTTGGATGTCTGCTGCATTTTGACAAAGTGTTTTGTCTTGGAGCATTGCGTCAAACATCAGGTGCACATTTTACTTGTGTATAGTGATTATGCAGCCAATTTCATCCGAGTGATCTTTCTCATACATTAAAGTCAGTCTTGGTTCCAGATGTCTATATTTGATGGATATGGGTTTGTTTCTCAATTGCTTGTCTGCAACCTACTAAGCCATAGACAATCTGTTTTTGTGTGTGTGTGGTTAAGAATTTAATAACTAAGAATGCTTGTTACATTTTCTATTCTGATTTTTCAGTGGCAGATACCTGAGATACTTTCAAAGCATAATATGCAGAAACAACAGTATGTAAATCACTCAGTCAGGTTAAGTCCTGTAAAAAGTGTAAACAGTAGGACACAATTATTAAAAAAACTATATATTTTTTGAGCACTGTTCAGGAATTTGGGGGTGGGGCTATTTGTCAGATTACTCAAACAGACTGACGTTTTGAAACCAAATTTGGTCTAAAACCTTTAAGATAACAATATTGCCAGCTACTTAGTGTATTTCTAATTTTCCAGCAACGAAAACGCCAAACAATCATTTCTGAACAAAGCTACAGAAGAATTAATTGTAATAGTTCTCCAAGCAAACACAGTAGATTTGTTCTTACATGAATCATTGATTTTAAACTATCTAGTTAAGTAAATGATTGTGCCCTGGTGACTTGTTTAATTCCTGAATGAATCATTGTTTTTGAATAATTCAGAGTGAATTATTCGATGATTCATTCATTAAAGTGGTAGCTTGTTTCATTCCTGAATAAATTAGTTGTTTTGAATTATTGACTCAGACAGCTACTTGTCCCCACCTACTGACAGAACGATCGAAAAATTGCTATCAGAATGTGCTTTATTGCCAGGTATGTTTACACATACGAGGAATTTGTGTTTTTCGTTACAGAAGCTTCCACAGTGCAACAGAATGACAGTAACAGAACAAATAAACAAATAAATAAAAAATAAAACAAGTAAATAAGGAATAAAAATATACAAATCGACAATTGTATGTACAGGTATATAACAATAGACAGTTGTATGTACAGGTATATTATGTGCAAATTGAAATGTAGACTGAGTATGTGTGTTAGATAAATAAGTGTATGAGTGAATAAATAGTGTGTGTTCCACAGTTATTGTTAAGTGTTCATGAGATGGATGGCCTGAGGGAAGAAACTGTTCATGTTTCTGGTCGTTCTGATGCTCCGAGCTCTGTAGCGTCGACCAGATGGCAACAGTTCAAAGAGGGAGTGTGCTGGATGTGTGTAGAACGTACAGTAGTCTGTCTGGAATGGAACGCATCATGTATGTATGTATGTGTGTGTATGTATATATATAAATAAATACATATATTATCATTTTATGATTTTATATATTTATATTATTATTATAATATTAATTTAATAAAAAACTCTTTCTATATATATATAATAGAGAGAGAGATAGAGGGAGAAAAAAAAGAGAAAACCCCCTGTTTACAGAAAGAGGCCCTGTTTCCCTGTTTACACGGGCAGAGGAATCATTTTGCAGGCCATCTGGAGCAAAACCAGAGCACATTCCTGCTTCAGCCATCCCTTTTATTTTCAATGGAAGCATCTATAGTTTGATGTCAGCCGCACAGTGAGTGGCCTGAGAGCCCTTAAATTTGAGCTGAAATGTAACAGAACATTTTAAATGGAAGACCTTGCAGGAAAATTGGGTGTGGAAAAGGGAAGCCTCTTTAATACCTTAGAGAATGTCTCTTGGACCATTTTTCTGCTGACTCGGGAAATCTTGGGGAAATATTGTTTTTATTTTGTTATACAGTACCACTATGGTGTCATTAAGCCATTTGTTTTTATGTTTTGCCAACCTTGGTGCGCTTTCGTGAAAAAGGTTATTCTCATAAACGTACAGAATCCAGTATTTCTGCCAGATCACTGGATCACTGTCAACCCATAAACATGTGTCTTATGATGGGGTCACCACTGTGTACACATGCTTTCAAGTAAATTAAGAATGAATTATGTCCTTTTTCGTTCATCTGACAGCAGCATTAGATGTTGTAATTTATGGTGACTGGGACAAGGATTAATCATAGGTCATCCATTTTCCATCAGTTTCATTGCTCATATATTTTTCAATATAGGGGGGAAATGAGAAAGTCCAGATTGTAGTCAGTACCTCCCCCTGTTTCTATATACAGTATCTTCCTTTCCATTTGTGTTTTAGGATCACTATGTCTCCATTCTCCACCTCTCTTGTCTCTGAAGATAGACCTGACCGTAAATTTTCCTGCTAAATGTTTAATGGGGTTTGATTTTTCAGGTTTTAACACTCACCTCACTCAGAAAGTGCAAACAAAGAGAATCGTTTGAATAGAAGTGCCTTTTGTTTTTCCTGGCTCGTTCCACCAAGCTGCATGGAACTTCATAGATGAAGTGTTTTATTCGGAGCTGTCAGTCATCCAGGTAGCTTTGGTCGCTGACTTTGAGTCCTATTATTGTACAGTGTGGAGGGACACTGGGTTATTAGCCTTTCTATTTTACCACCAGGATATTGCACTCCAGATCTTTATCTCAAACTGAACAAGACGAGTGTTAATCCTGGTTCATTTTCAGCTCATCATGTCCTATAAATAAATGACAATGTAGACCAGGGGCCGGTTGCACCAGCTTAAGCACCAACTTACTTGCACTACTAAATATTTGAGCATTGCACCATTAAACTTGGTTGAAACATAACCCTATACATAAACTAAATATTTACTGAAGCCTTCAACCAGTAATAATAGCTGGAATAAACTGGAAGACCAATTGGATTGCTTCAATGAGCTCATGTTTTAAATGACAGAAATTATGTTGACATTCACACTTGTTTATACAAACCCGATTCCAAAAAAGTTGGGACACTGTACAAATTGTGAATAAAAACAGAATGCAATGATGTGGAAGTTTCAAATTTCAATATTTTATTCAGAATACAACATATCAAATGTTTAAACTGAGAAAATGTATAATTTTAAGGGAAAAATAAGTTGTTTAAATTTCGTGGCATCAACACGTCTCAAAAAAGTTGGGACATGGCCATCTTTACCACTGTGTGGCATCCCCTCTTCTTTTTATAACAGTCTGCAAACATCTGGAGACTGAGGAGACAAGTTGCTCAAGTTTAGGAATAGGAATGTTATCCCATTCTTGTCTAATACAGGCTTCTAGTTGCTCAACTGTCTTAGGTCTTCTTTGCCGCATCTTCCTCTTTATGATGCGCCAAATGTTTTCTATGGGTGAAAGATCTGGACTGCAGGCTGGCCATTTCAGTACCCGGATCCTTCTTCTACGCAGCCATGATGTTGTAATTGATGCAGTATGTGCTCTGGCATTGTCATGTTGAAAAATGCAAGGTCTTTCCTGAAAGAGACGACATCTGGATGGGAGCATATGTTGTTCTAGAACTTGGATATACCTTTCAGCATTGATGGTGCCTT